CAGCCTTTGGCGACCACTGAACTGTTTTTTGTTTCTATAGTGTTGTCTTTTCCACAGTATCATGTAAATAGAATTATATGTCTTTGTCTGACTTTGTTACTTAGCATGCCGCATTTGACATGTCTTAGTCTATTCCGGCTACCCTAACAAAATAGTATGGCTCATAAACAATAGACATTTATTTCCCTGTGCGGGGAAGTCCAAGGTCAAGGTGATGGTAGACTTAGTAGGTGTCTTTGAGGACATGCTTCCCGGTTCCTGAACAGTCTTTTTACTGTGACTCACCATGGTAGAGAGGTAAGTAGCTGTGTGGAGGGGTCTCCTTTATAAGAACCCTAATCACTGTTATGAGGGCTCCACTCTCATAATCTAAGCACTTTCCAAAGGCCACACCCCCAATACCATTAAATTGGGCATTGGGATTTCAGTATATGAATTTTGAGGGACACAGTCTATAGCAGCATCCACCCATGTTATTGCATCTATTAGTAATTTATTCCTTTTTATTGCTGAATAGTATTCCATTGTAAGATGTACTACAATTTGTTTATCCATTCACAGGGTGAAGGACATATGGGTTGTTTCCAGTTTTTGGTGATTATGAATGAAGCTGCTATAAGTGTCCACATACAGATTTTTGTGGAGTTTTTTGGCGGGGAGTAATTAGGTTTATTTATTTATTTTTTAATGGAGATACTAGGGATTGAACCCAGGACCTCGTGCATGCTAAACGTGTACTCTAACCACTGAACGATACCCTTCCCCTCCACATACAGATTTTTAATAAGTGAAGTTTTCATTTCTCCTGAGTGAATACCTAGTATTGTGATTGCTGGGTTGTATGGTGAGTGTTTGATTAATTTTCTAAGAAAATGCTAAACTCTATTTTAAAGTGGCTGTACCATTTTGCAATCCCACCAATGATGTATGAGAATTTCATTACTTGGTAATGTCAGTTATTTTTTATTTTAGCTGTGCTAATAGATGTGTAATATCACATTGTGATTTTAGTTTTCATTTCCCTCATGTCTTATTTTTCATCTGCTCATCTTTTGGGGAAATGTCTATTCATATCTTTTGCTTATTTTTAAATTAGTTTGTTTTATTGAATTTTAGAATTCTTTATGTAGTCTGGATGTAAGTATTTTGTTAGTTACATGTTTCTTCCAGACTATGGCTTGTCTTTATACTCTTAACAGTATCTTTTACAGAGCAGAATTTTAAAATTTGGTGAAGCCCAATTTATTGATTTCTTTCTTTTACAGATTATGCTTTTGGTGTTGTATCTAAGAAAATTTTTAAGAAACTAAGATCACAAAGGTTTTTCTCCTAACTTTTATTTCATTTTTTTAAAAAAATTGAGGTATAATTGACATACAACATTTTAGTTTCAGATGTACAACATAATAATTTGTCATTTATATACATTAAAAGTGATCACCATGATAAGTCTAGTTAACATCCATCACCACAATTAGTTACAAAAAAATTTTTCTTGTGATGAGAACTTTAAGATCTACTCTCTTAGCAATTTTTGTATATTCAGTACAGTATATTAATTATAGTGACCATTCTGTACATTACATTCCCATGGTTTATTTTATTCCTGGAAGTTTGTACCTTTTGACTCCCTTCACCCTTTGTGCCTATCCTGTGGCAACTACCAGTCTGTTCTCTGTTATCTATGAGCTTGATTTTTTTTTTCCCTTCTAACTTTTCTTACAGATGTTTTATAGTTTTAGTTTTCACATTTAGGTCTATGATCCATTTAGAGTTAATTTTTATATATGTTATAAGGTATTGGTTGAGATTCATATTTTTGCGTATGTATGTCCAGTTGTTTTAGCACGATTTGTTCGAAAGACTATCCTATTTCCATTGAATTGCCTTTGGAACTTTATGGGACATCAATTGACCATATATGAATGAGTCTATTTCTAGACTGTCTTCTCTTCCCATTGACCTATATGTTACTCCTTTTGCCAATACCTCGCTGTCTTGATTACTGTGATTTTATACTAAGTCGTGAACTCAGCATGAGCCTCCCTCCAACTTTTTCTTTTTCAAAATTACCTTGGCTATTCTATTTCCTTTACCTTTCCATATAAATTTTGGAATTAACTTGCCATTCTTTATTTTTAAAAAAGATTGTTGGGATTTTGAGTGGAATTGCATTAAATCTGTGTATTAGTTTGGGGAGAATTGAACCTTGATCATAGAGTCTTCAACACAATATCTCTCTTCATTTGTTTAAGTTGTCTTTGATTTTTTTCATCAGTGGTTTGTAGTTTTCAGTATATGCATCCTGCTCATATTTTGTTAGATTTAAGTTTTTGGAGCTATTGTAAATTGTAGTGTTTTGTTCACTACTAGTACAATCAAGTCTCATTTTTTCATGGTAGTTATGTTCTATATAAAGTCGCTGTGAGCACTGAGTTAGGGAATACTGAACCATTGTTTCTAAAGAATAGGCAGGGTTAGATTCCTGTGAGCCTTTGGTCATGAAATTTTCATCAACCAATCAATACATGATCTTGTTTTATGTGTATTTATGTTTAAAGACAATTTATTCAATATATGTTGTTGATTCATTAACTGAATTTATGACCAGGAATAAATTCTCCTGTTTGTTGTGTATGCTGATGTGGCTCATGGTGGTAATTTTCCTCAAGTGTGTTACAGTTATGGTTGAAAAGTTCATGTTGAATAAGAGTTTTCCCCACGTGTGTTTTCCGCTTTTATGTGTTTCTGGAGTTTCTTCAGCTTGACCTTCTGGCTGTCGTAGCTCTAGATCTTTAGAGATTTGGGTTTTTACTTTATGTTAATAGCCTAGTTCTGGACCATACTATATGTACTATACATGCCATGTAGGCCCCTTTTCCATTCTTAGATTATTTCTGTTCCTTCCATAGGCCATAGGTAGGTGTTCAGTGGAACACTGTTTTGGCCCAGTTCTAGCAAGGAGTCTGTTCTGGTCTTCTGCCCTATAGTTGGCATGTGGGATCCTTAGAGCCTTGGAGCTTTAGCCTACAAGTCCCTTTTCCTGGTGATTTTAGTGCCCACTTATTACTCTATGTTTCTCCTCTGTTCCTGGCCCACATGATTTTTACCCTTTGTTATTGAGTATATAGCTATGTGTTAAATGTTTTATTGTATATCCTTGTAGAGGTCCTTTATGTATATATAAGTAAATAAGAGGATGCTTATTTTCCTTTCTTTTGTATTCAAAAGTTAGCACACTGTATTTTGCTCTTCTTACTTAGCAACAAGTTAGGAAATACTTCCATTTGATTAATCAGAGGGGTGGTGTAGATATTGTTGGCTTCTTTGTTAAAGGGACTTGCTGATTTGACTCTACATGGTTTATTTTTTATCACATTGGCCAGGGACTGCTCCTACGTTTGGATTTTTACGTTGTTTTTCAGATATGATTTAAAATATATATATCTGTACTCAGTGATTTTCGTCAGTGTAAAGGTTTATCAGTTCTGTAGTTATGACCTTCTTAATTTCTCCTTTAAAATGTTATTCATGTATTTCTCACAACAACTGTTAACTCTTCCTTTGAATTTTAACTATTTGTTAAATTAATAATGTGACCACTTGTTTAGGGTCACAGAGTTTGTAAGTGAAAGATAATTTGGCATCAGACTTGTACTCTGAACCACTAGATTATATACTGGTTCTCCTTTATTTTATGGTTTTTTTTTAATACAATAAAGGGGCTTTACTTTTTTTTTTAAAGGCTTTACTTTTAAATGATTATCAGTACACCAAATAATAACATGTAACAAATTCTTGAATTCTGTCTGGTACTTTTGATGGAGACACTAAAAGCAGCCCAAACAACTATACTAGTATTCATCGTTCTAACTTTTAGCCGGAAAGGACGATTTTAAGGCCGGCTGCTGCTTAATACAGGTTACAAATAACTATTTACTACTTTTTCATTGATTAAGCCTCTGACCTTCAGAAAGCTTTAGGGAAAAAAATTAGTCCATTTTTCTTCTTTAAAAAAAAAACCTGTATCTAAGAAAGGAAAAGTCAGTATTAATATATACATTGCTTGAGCTACGAGGTATAGGACCAGAAAATGTATGCCTATTAAATTTCTAAGATATTTCTTAGGTTAAAAAATGAAAAATTTGGATAAACTTTAAGGTTTTACAAGGAAGCTAGATTTAGTATTCTCCAAAAAGAGAGGGAACCTACTATGTAATATACAAAGATAATTTAATGTCTTTTCACAAGACTATAACTTGAACTTTGTTAAAATTTCATTTTCCATGAAGGCATCTAAAATGCCAGTCTATGGAAAGGGCTTCTTCCCCTATCCACTTACGTGGTAGTTTTCATGGATTTCTGGCCAGATGTCGCAGACAGAGGCCAAGAGTTTACCTGGGACTTTGTCTCTGTTCTGCTGGAAGTAGATCTGGTGGATGGTCATCTCCTGGGTCCCCTTTTGCACCTCAGTACTGCCATTGCCATGGGGCCCAGAGCCCTAGCTTCTTTGACTTTGAACCTTTTCTCCCTCTGCAAGTGGTACTGTTCAGTTTCAGTTTCAGCTGCTTTGGCCTGCTTCAGCCTCAGGTTGCTTGTGGGCCTCGACACCTTTTGGGCAGCCCACTTCTGGTCTGTAGCTGCTGCTGGGGCCTGGGCGAGCAGCCTAAATGGCTGGATTGTTGCCTCAGGTCAACTGATCTGTGCCTGCGCCGGTGCTCTGCCTGCCATCTTCTCTTATCCTTTAATTTCCACAGTAGCCCTAAGAAGTAGGTATATAGACAAGGAAACAAGTTTCAGTATAGAGTGTCTAAGTTTCTCATGGTCACTTGTTTTTGTTTATTTCATTCCAAACCACATTTTTATTCTGTATTACCTCCACTCTACCCTGATTGATAATGCAAACCCTCAAAACCATACCATCACACTCTTGCACTTAAAATAGGTCCGTGATTCTTTCTGCAGCTTTTTCTTATAACCCTAACTGCTTCTTGTCTTAGCTCTCAGGGCCATTTCTGAGCCGTAGAGGTTACAAGTACTCCACTGAACAACCAGTTCCAAATCCTGTCATCAAATCCTATGCTCCTGTTCCAAATGGTAAGTTTTCTTGTGGACATATTAAAACTTTTATAAATTCAAACTTAGATGTAGAAGGAAAAATATACTTTTGTGAACACAGGGTTAGTCTTCAGTGTTTTGCTACTGTTTTATCATACTAAGAAAATCAGGAGGATCAGTGTATTTACCTGACAGGACTGTTGAGAATTACTTAGCCAAACAGATAATATACTTTATGTCAGCTCAGAATCTATTGTTACTTATTTAATTTTGTGGAACACAATGGTATAAGTTTTAATATGAGTATGAATTATAGATATGAAAAGAACATTTGTAGATACTGTTATTTAAATTTTAAATAATCAGAATCTGTTTATTAATATAATAACTACTAATTGCTGCCTATATTTCATGTCTGACATTATGCTTTACAAATATTAATCATATAATCTTCACAACAACCCTGTTAGGTAGGTGGTGGGTGGTGGTATTGACATTTTATAGATGAAAAAACTAGGTTAGAGACGTTAAAGAATTTATGTTAGGTCACAAAGCTTGTGATCTGACAGAGCTAGCCTTCATACCTAGGTATATCTGTCTGAAACCTTTTGCTTTTTCTCATTATACCATCTGACTACTTGTGGTATTTGAATTTAGGCCACGTAGAAAGTCAAAGAATTATAAAGATGCTGAAGAGAGAAATACCTAAAGGGTGTGGTTATGCCTGTTTGTACATTGTAGAGAATTATAAAATCTATGTTTAGATGTACTGAATTATCATAATTTCTTTTTTGTTTATTTTCAGGTAATAGATGCCTAGTGTTTCTTTTACTTTAAAGACATGAGTGTTAATAGTATTGCATTAAGAGTTGAAACCTGGCTTTTAGCTACATGGCATGTTAAAGTACCTTTAATGTGGCTGGAAGCTTGTATTAACTGGATCCAAGAAGAAAATGATAACATTAATTTGAGTCAGGCACAAGTGAATAAACAAGTGTTTGAGCAATGGCTCCTTACTGATTTGAGAGATTTGGAGCATCCTCTTTTACCTGATGGCATTTTAGAAGTTCCAAAAGGAGAACTGAATGGATTTTTCGCTCTGCAGATTAATTCCTTGGTTGATGTAAGTCAGCCTGCATATGCCCAGATACAAAAATTGAGAGGAAAGAATACAACCAATGATCTAATTACAGCAGAAACACAAGTAACTCCAAAACCTTGGGAAGCAAAGCCTTCACGAATGTTGATGCTACAGCTAACTGATGGCATTGTACAAATACAAGGAATGGAGTATCAGTCTATTCCAACTCTTCATAGTCATCTTCCTCCTGGTACAAAAATTTTGATTTATGGAAATATTTCTTTTCGTCTTGGTGTTCTCTTATTGAAACCAGAAAATGTGAAGTTGTTGGGAGGAGAAGTAGATGCTCTTTTAGAGGAATATGCTCAAGAAAAAGTACTTGCAAGATTAATTGGGGAAACTGATCCTATGGTTTCAGTCATACCAAGTAATTCTAACCAAAGCATCCCCAGAGTTACAGATGTTCTAGATCCTGCGTTAGGACCTTCTGATGAAGAACTCTTGGCAAGTCTTGACGAAAATGATGAGCTTGCAGCAAATAATAACACCTCCTTGGAAAGAAGTTGTTTCATCACAGGTAGTTCCTCAAATACTATTCCCACCAGAAGGTCAGATTGTGAACCAGGACTTATTTCTCCAAGATCGAAGGAGAAACCACAAAATCAATCTGCGCTTTTCACTGATGGGGAATTAGATGACTTTTCACTGGAGGAAGCCTTGCTTTTAGAAGAAGCTGTCCAGAAAGAACAAATGGAGACTAACAAATTGCAGCCATTGACTTTGAACAAAACTGCTGATAAAAGTATAGAGAGATTTTCACATGGACCTAATACACCGAATAATTTTTCTTTGACTTGCAAAAATAGAAACAATAATTGGAATGAAAAAAATATATCTGAGCAAATGACCGATGGAGACCCATCTTTTAGTTGTCCATCTGATAGAGACCAAAACAGTAGTATTTTTTCAGTTAATCATAATGTATCCTTACACCATGATTTTACAAATAAAGATAAGAACTCTGAGACATGTTATAAAAAAAACCAAGCCATCAGCAGTTCAGATGGCCATTTCTTAAATAATAAAATATTAGATGGAGAGCTGGTCAATTATGTACCAAAAAAGAGTTCACAAATTTCTAAAGAAAATGAGCACCTGTTACAGACTTGTTCTTTAAGATCGTCAGAGAATAGCACTGATCTTTCTATCACCATGGATTTGTATTCGCCACCCTTTATCTATTTGTCTGTTCTAATGGCCAGCAAACCAAAGGAAGTTATAACAGTGAAAGTCAAAGCATTTATTGTAACCTTAACTGGAAATCTCTCAAGTTCCGGTGGCATCTGGAGTATAACAGCAAAAATTTCTGATGGTACTGCATATCTAGATGTAGACTTTGTAGATGAAATACTTACTAGTCTGATAGGGTTTTCAGTACCAGAAATGAAACAGTTAAAGAAGGATCCTTGTAAATACCGAAAATTCTTGGAAGGTTTGCAGAAATGTCAGAGGGATCTGATAGATTTGTGCTGTCTAATGACTATTTCATTCAATCCCTCCTTGTCCAAGGCAATGGTACTGGCATTACAAGATGTTAATATGGAACACCTTGAGAGCCTAAAGAGGCGATTAAAGAAGTAATTTACTAAAATAGTATTAGAAAGCAATTCAAAAAAAACAAGGAAATGTTTATAATTAAATTTGTCCTTTTACTTTTCAACTCTCTGTAAAAGGGGACAAAGAAGTTTTATTACTGATTTCAGTTTAATTTTAAAATGTTTAATCATGTTTGTGTGTTTAAGTTTTTTAAATAAAATTTTTTATACTAACTGTTTGATGACCCACTGTTATTCAGAAATTTGTTTTCACTGTTATTTCTCATAAGGTGAAAGTACTGTATTGACGTTTACTGATGAGTCATGCTGTTGAAAGTTAACAGTTAATAGATAGGTAGTTCAGTACTTCTAATATGTTGAGTACCCCCAAAAGGTTTGTTTATATTATTTTTCTTAGGAAAAATGTAAATCCAGTGGATTAGAATGTCAGACTTTCAAGTGCAAATTGTTCTGCTGGTTTTTATTGTGCTGATTGTAAATATTTGTCTGGTATATTTAAAGCAAATATTAACTAGATACCATTTCAAAGATTATATTGAATGGTTAAAAACCTTATTTTTAAGAGTAATCTATTATTAAAATCCAGTAAGTATTTCATTTTTTTGGATTAAAATAAGATATTTATCCATGTCGTTAGGTGTTATCTCCTTTCTGAATTAGCTCTACATGTAAACCTTCTTTTAGTTTTATTGAAAATGCTGATTTCTTTCTTTTTTAAATATATATTTATTGAAGTATAGTCAGTTTACAATGTGTCAATTTCTGGTGTACAGCACAATGCTTCAGTCATACAGGAACATACGTATATTTGTTTTCATATTCTTTTTCATCATAGGTCACTACAAGATATTGAATATAGTTCCCTGTGCTATATAGTATAAACTTGTTGTTTATCTGTTTTATGTATATTAGTATCTGCAAATTTAGAACTCCCAATTTATCCCTTCCTACCCCTTCCCCCCTGGTAACCAGAAGTTTGTTTTCTATGTCTGTGAGTCTGTTTCTGTTTTGTAAACAAGTTCGTTTGTCCTTTTTTTTTTTAGATTCCACATAAAAGTGATATCATATGGTAATTTTTTTCTCTTTCTGTCTTACTTCACTTAGAATGACAATCTCCAGATCCATCCATGTTGCTGCAAATGGCATTATTTTATTCTTTTTATGGTTGAGTATTATTCCATTGTATAAATATACCACAACTTCTTTATCCAGTCATCTGTTGATGGACATTTAGGTTGTTTCCATGTCTTGGCTATTATATATAGTGCTGCTATGAACATTGGGGTGCAGGTGTCTTTTTAAATTAGGGCTCCCTCTGGATATGTGCCCAGGAGTGGGATTGCTGGGTCATATGGTAAGTCTACTGTAAGTCTTTTGAGTCTCCGTACTGTTTTCTATAACGGCTGCACCAAACTACATTCCCACCAACAGTGTAGGAGGGTTCCCTTTTCTCCACACTGATTTCTTTTTTAAAGGAGACTGTTTCCTACCTTTCTACTTTGCTGTTAAAAAGTCACAGTTGAGAGGTAAAGTTACTTTTATTAATCTTTTGTCTTTAAAAAATCAAAATTAAAGCATCTTGAATTTTCAAACATTAAACAAATAATAAAATGACATTTTATTTTAGTTAATGTAATAGGAAAATATCTGGAAGTAGGGTAAATACACATATAACAATATGTTCTGGATGTAGTAGAACATTCTGAAAATCCTTTGTCGTTGATTGAAGGATGATAATCAGAGTTCAAGGCACAACCCAGATTTTGCTGATATATCCTCTGATAGTCACCACTTCTATACACATAGCTCTTTAACTACAAGAAATCTATATGGACAGCGTTATCTTTCTTCTAAGTGTTCTCCTGTGCTCTATGTCAGTAGTGCTTGAAAGCTGGGATTAAACCTTATTTCCTCTTCATATTTAGTTACTAAAGATTGGGTATAGTACTTTACCTTATCAATCCATCCTTCTATATTGGTGCTTTGATTTTGGCTCTGGTCTTCTCTGGCCTGGAGTATTCTAGTAGGTTTACTAACTTTTGCCCTTAAGCCTTTTCCCATAATTTTGCCTGAATGATCTTTCTTGAATAAATTTCTTGTTTTCTCTTTGTTACCCTTTAATATCAAACTTTGCTTTCCTTTTCAGTCTCATCTTACCTCCTTGTTCTCCACCTACCTAGTTCACCCCTAAATTTTAGTCTTACCAAGGTATTTGTTATTCCCCAAACCTGTGGGGAATGCACTTCATGCTTTCATACTCAAGTTCATGGTAATCCCCTTACCTCCCGGGTTCATTCATATTTTGACTCAGCTTAAGATTTAGGTGCCAACTGAAGTGTTTCATGAATTCCTCTGCCCGCTTTCATGCCCTCTGTACCTTCTACAAACTAACACTGTGTTATATTGTACTTATTTGCTCCTCTTACTCTACTGCTGCATTTTGGGCAGGATAATTCTTTGTTGTTGAGAGCTGTCCTGAGCTCCCTTTAGCATCCTGGCTTCTACCCATGCAGTGTCAGTAGAATCCTCCCAGTTGTGACAACCAAAAATCTTTCCAGCCATTACAAAATATTTCCTGGGGGACAAAGTTGCCCTTGGTCAGAACCATTGCTTTAATGGAATGTGAGATGCTTGAGGATATGGCTAAGTGATTTATCTTTGTAATTCCAGTAACTTGTTTATTGATACTATAAATGAATCAATATCTGATCATCTGTGTTCCCTTGCTTAATATTTTTTACTGATTCCTCCTCATTTCAGTAGCATGGTACTTAAAGTCCTGCCTGCAGCCTCTGTATACACAACTCCTCAAATATCCTCTTCAGTGAAAGAGTAAATTAGAAAAATCTGCCCAATTGCAGAGGAAGACTACAAGAAAACTTGGTTAACTTGGCTGATTTTAGTTGAGAGGAAAAAAGTTTTCCCTGAGAATTTGTAGCCATAGAGCTGCTCTTATGTGAGTCTAAGCAGACACTTAAGTTACCTGCATGATACTTTCCAACTGAGAATTTAACAAAAAGAATGACTCTATGGGAACCTGGCAAAAGCAAATGGGAAGGGGGAAAAATGGGTATAATCAGATCATCTTTATCTTCCTCTTGGCATTGAAACTGCCTTCATAGAGTACATGTTCTTTGCTCCTCCATTCTGTATATCCTACCTGTATTTGCCCCTGCCCTGGTCTAGCACTGCTTATGACTGAGTGGATAAGTTACTGAGTTCTGAAGTTAGCAGGCACTATATGAAATGCTCAGACATGCCTGGGCTAAAAAATAACTAATATGCACAGGAGGAAAACAAAAAGAAGATTGAAATTTTCAATACGGAATTGGGAATTAAAAAAACTAAAAAGAAGGGCCTATAATAGCTAAAATTAAGAAATCAGTGAATGAGTTTAACACCAGATGAAACACAGCTGAAGATACAGTGAATTAAGTTTGGTCAGAAGAGAAAATTCAGAATAATGTATAGAGAGACAAAAGGATGGAAAAGGACCAGAAAACTATAACAGAGAAGGGCTAACATTAATGTAACTGTAGTCCTCAAAAGAGAGGAAATAGAGAATACTTGGAGTTAATGCTTAAGAAATTTACCAAATTAGTGGAAATCAAGCTGCAGCTTTCAGAAGTCCCACAACCTCAAGCAAAATATTTCAGAGGAAATCAGACCTATGCAAATATTATTAATACATTGAAAGCTAAAAAAGAAAAGAGAAAATCTAGAGCATATTTCAAAGGACCCAAAATATGGTAACTGACTACTCAATAAAAAGCAGGAATCATGATGGTATATACCTGAAACTTACATGCCAGTTTTACCTGTTCTAAAAAAAAAGTTGGGATCAGCAGACAAGGGATGGCATTTTCAAAGTGATGGAGAAAATAACTGCCAACATAGAATTCTATATAGAGCAAGAACGCCCTTAACAATTAGGGTACAATAGACAAAATTAAGAAAACTTTACACACAAAAATTTCTCCCTAACTACACAAAAATGTTTTTAAGCAGGAGGGAAACAATAATCAGATGGAAACCTGTAGATGCAAGAAGGAATGACGAACAACCAAAAGGGTAAACACATGGGTTAAATGAATAGTGATTTTGAGTCAAAGATAATGTCATGAGGGTTTAGAAAGCAAAAGACTAAACTACATGAAAACAATAGCATTTAAGTTGGGTGAGGGATAAAAAAAAGCATTTTTAAGATCCGAATGTCTGAGAAAAGGTTAGTGCAGTTTTGTATTTGTCTTGACTATTCAGAGATTCATGTTATAATATTTAGAGTATCCATACTAAAAGATTTGTAGAAGTATATTACTATATATGAATGGGTTAAAAAGGAATAATATCAATAAGGAATGTACCTAATCCAATAAAATAGCAAGAAAGAGAAAAGAACAAAGAAAAAACGGTATACAGGAAAAACAATTGGTGAGGTGGCAAATTTAAATCCAAATGAATCAATTTTTAATCAAGACAAATCAAAGGAAATTGCATTAAATGTAAATAAACTAAATCTTGCAATAAAAGCCTATCAGATAGCAATACAATCTAATTACAATCATACCTTGTTTTATTATGCATCTCTTTATTGTTCTCTGCTTTATTGTGATTTTTATAAATTCAGGGTTTGTGGCAACCCTGTGTTGGGCAAGTCTTTTGGGACCATTTTTCTGTTATTTTTAAATTAAATTATGTACATTTTTTAGGCATAATGCTATTGCACACTTAATGGTCTACAGTATAGTGTAAACATAACTTTCATATGTGCTGAGAAATCAAAAAAATTTGTGTGACTCACTTTATTGCTTTATTGTTGTAATTGCTTTATTGTGAGGTCTGCAACTGAAACCACAATATTGCTGAGGTATGCTTGCGTATAAAAGAAAGACACATATAAGAATATGGAAAAGTGAAAGCGTATGTAAAGACTAACCAGCATATAGCAGCTGGGCTATATTAATATCAAACAGAATTTTAGACAAATGACTTACTAGTAGTAAAGAGAAACAATTGATAAGGGACTAATTCACCAGGAAGATTTAGCAATCCTAAGTTTATAGAATTCAACGTATGGCTTCCAAGTTTATCAGAACTACACGGAGAAATAGAGAATACTATTGTCGTAGAGGAAGATCACACACTCAGTAGTAATAAACAATTGATAGGGATATAGAAAATAGAATTAACCTAATCACCATGTACAAGCTACT